ATCTATCTATATTAATCTTCTACTGTTGGTGATTCCCTCTGCTACAGGGATTTGCGAGGCAACTCTTTCCAGTGCATTTGTGAGAACAAGTGGCTGATGACATGGCTGAAAAACACAAATGCCACAGTGTCGGATGTCTTCTGTGCCGGCCCCAATGACATGAAGGGCAAGCGGCTCAATGACCTTCCTATTCCACCAGGCGAATGTATTTCCACAGGTAAAACCACCGCTGCACCCTCAAAGGCGAACAGTCACAGCCGTAGCTAAAATTGTCATGTTAAACAAAGTAAATCGATAAGGACAGGAAAAAAGAAATCAATGAAACTGCTGAATAATTAAACGAGACAAAGCCATGTTCATCTGTGCACTCTAAACCAGACACACTCAAAGTCTGCCGTTTTCCTCTGAACACATACATACGAACGCACATCATCATACAATGAAGCTAAGAAGCAAGTATAAGAGTCTTGAGATTTGTATGTTGTCTGCAGCAGATTACATCTTTCAAGGCATTTTTGAGATGATATGGGGTCAAAACTTTAAAACAAGTGTCTGGGTCAAGGATATTTTTCATCATCTGTTCAAATCATTACTCTACTATCCAATACAAATACAAATTTGAAGTGAGGGCAATGATTTCTTAATGTATGTTGCACATTCAGAAGATATTAGCAAAGGATAGTGTCATGCGTCTGCCAGTTAGAAATGGTAGAGCTAGATAGAGAACAGTGTCTCTGTAGTCTTGTCTTGGAAAACTGGAGAAACTTTATGGATAAACTAGACTTAAACACAGTTTTTACCCACAGAATACATGTTCTCAGCCCTGGAAGGCATGAAACACAGGTGTGGTTAAAAAAATATAAATGAAATAGAGATGAAAACTGCAACCAAACAACAGGTTAAAAAAAAAAAACATCTATATGTATCGATTTAACATATGGAGCTACTTCACTACCACGACTAAACACTGAAGCTATAGATATGAAAAATCAAAAAACAAGATCCACCTTTACTGTTTTTTTTTTTTTTTTAAAGTTCCAGTAATTTTTTTTTATGTTAAGTCTGGGAGGTGGTCGGTGCTTAGCACCATTGCCTTACAGCAAGAAGGTTGCCGGTTCGCGTCTCGATGAGGACACCTGGGATCTTTCTGCGTGGAGTTTGCATGTTCTCCCCGTGCAGTGTGGGTTCTCTCCGGGTTCTCCGGCTTCCTCCCACACAGTCTAAAAACATGTTGAGGTTAATTGGTGATTCTAAATTGTCCGTAGGTGTGAATGTGAGTGTGCTTGGTTGTCTGTCTCTAAGTGTGGCCCTGTGATAGACTGGTGACCTGTCCAGGTGTCACCCTAAATCAGCTGGGATAGACTCCAGCGCCCCACGACCCTAGTGAGGATTAAGCAGCATATAGATGATGGATGGATGTATGTATGTATGTTAAATCTGTCTAATATTGTCGCATAGCTATCAAATGTTTTGTTTTTTTCTCACATGCACTGTCTTATTAGATTATTCGTAGAGAAAGAGCAGAATTTAATTAACTGCCATCTTTAGTTTAGTTGTAGCTTTTATCAGAGTAAATGTAGACAGACAGGACAACTCTAAACTGACAAAATCAAATTATGGCAAAGCATTTAGAGCAAAGCACTATTGTAATATGAGACCGTAACAAAGCATACAGTATTAAATACAAGTGCTAAAAGCTAAATATCTAAATATGATCATGCAGGCTCTTCACAGCTAAAGCTTTTGACTGCGCTGAAAATGTAATTTAAGTCCTAAATGCTTTTACTGTATCAGCAAACCAGCAGTTTCTGTTTTTGTCTGCATCTCACAGACTTTGTGCGTCATCAGTCCATTCCCATTCAGTCCATGTCAGCGGACATCTTCTCCTTTAAAGAGGACATCTACGTAGCAATGGCTGCCCCCAACACCAACAGCTGCGTGGTCATGGAGTGGGATCACATCGAAATGAATTTTAGGAAGTTTGATAACATAACAGGTTTGAAACCCACCCTAAGTTTTTTTTAATTTTTTTTAAGACTGATGATATGCTACCCAATAAATCCCAAGAGACAACAATGAATTGAAACTATGTTTTGCCAGCATATCCAAAGTCTAGTATAGATAGATAGACAGACAGAACTTATTCCTTTGTGTCTCTGGGCTTTAAAAACAACATCAAATACATAAGTGAGTGACAGTGTTGTATTGATTGACATGCTGTTTTATTGCAATGAAGACTGGCACAAGTCTATTTTGAGTCAGCTCCATCTTGGTGCTGTAAATACTCTGAAGTAAAAGCCCCAGCTACATATTCATCCTTAGTTCCCCACAGTCCTAACAAAACCATTATTCAGCTGTTTTAGGGAGTTGTGTTTTAAAAAATTAATGAATGTGTTGATAACCACTATTTAAAGATTCATATGTTCAGCGAGAACAAAGGGGCCAAGTACCACATAGAGGTGGTGGTGGGGAAAAAATTTACTGTTGGAGTTATTGTATGTTTTGGTCTTTTTATAGTTGATGGTAAAAACAAAAAAATGGCAACCATCAGCAAAAAAAAAAAAAAAGCTACATTTGGAGCTACTTTTTTTTGTTCCATAAAAACAGCTTTCAGTGTGAGTTAATCACCGTCTAATATTTCATTTTCTGTGTTGTGTTACCACTGACGACTTTTTCCTCACAGGGAAGTCTGTTGTTGGATGCAAGTCGGTGCTGATTGAAAACCACGTCTTGATAATAGTTACTCAGCTGTTCGGCGGCTCCCACATTTACAAGTTTGATGATCAACAAAACAAGTTCACCAAGTTTCAAACTATCGAGGTGTTCAACATCTCAAAGCCAAATGACATTGAGGTCTTTCAAATGGAAGGCGATTGGTATTTTGTGATCGTGGACAGCTCCAAGGCGGGACTGTCTACTCTCTACAAGTGGACCGACCAACCGGACCGCAATGAAACTGGTTTCTACTCCTACCAGTTTCTCCACGAATGGTTCCGGGACACGGATGCTGAGTTTGTGGAGGTGGACGGAAAGTCTTATCTGATCTTAGCCAGTCGCTCTCAGCCGCCTGTCATCTACCTGTGGAACAAGAGCACCCTGAAGTTCATACTTCACGGTGAAATCCCAAATGTTGACGACGTGGTGGCGATCAAAGCCTTTCGGGTGGAAGGTGACATGTATCTGGCCATGACTTGTTACATTGGTGACTCCAAAGTCCTCAAGTGGACCAATAAGCAGTTCACTGAGGTGCAGCCTCTTCCCTCCCGAGGAGCCATGATCCTCCAGCCGTTCACCTTCGCAGACAGACACTATCTCGCTCTTGGCAGTGATTATTCCTTCACGCAGATCTACCTCTGGGATGGGGAGACAAAAACATTTCACAAGTTCAAGGACATTTACGTGCAGTCGCCCCGCTCATTCACCGTGGTCACCACTGATCGGAGGAATTTCATCTTCTCCCCCAGCTTCAAGGGCAAATCAATGGTTTTTGAGCATATATTTGTAGATTTGAGCTTGTAATACTAAACAAAGTGACTACTGACACACAGTATGTGTTGGCCACTCAGATCGATAATGTGTGTATGCTACAAAGGAGTCGCAAATGCTGTGTATCTTCCTTATGCAACCAGATATAACCTTCGTGGTTTGAGACAAAAGTTTGTTGGCAAGTTTCTTCAAATTGTATGCATTTCTAGCAATTCTGGGAATATGATCAATGTTAGACCATAAGTAGGTAACTTCAAGCTGAAGGCTGACGGAAAAATAAAACTGTTGCAAATCTTTGAAATGAAACCGCATGCGGATAATTTTATGACAAACCAGACAGACAGTATTCTTAAAAGGCCTTGGCTTTTATCATAATTCTATTAAACAAATGACAACTGAGGTGGGGTTTTTACAAGCTAGACAAGCCTTATTCAGTGCTTAAATAAATGTTTTTTTTTTTTTGATGCACCAGTAAACTTAATGCTCATCTTGTTGCTCCTATTGCCTCAAACTAAAACAAAAAAGAAAATCTGAAATACTTCAAACAAAACTGAACATAAAGTCAATTTTAGTGAATTCTCAAGCTGTCCGTCAGCTCACAATATATTTCTTACAATGTATTGTCTGACCACACTTCAAGACAGGGTGAACAGCATATTGAAATGTGATAATCATTTACATACAAGGACGACTGTTTCTTACACTTGCCTGAAAGTGTACCTGGGAATTCTATATAGAGCTGCATGCACAAAACGTTCCAGAAAAATAAAAAAAAAGGGAGCTCAAACCTTTCCTACTCACCTCCTATTATCTCACCTAATTTCCTGGCTTAACTGTCGGTTTGTCAGTTTCAGAAAACTACAAAAAATTGCCGCATGTAGCCCAAAAAATTGGATGTCGGGAGATTGCGTGCGGAATGAGTTTCACATTATGCGGAAAATGCAAGTAAAATGTTAGATGTTTTCCTGAGCTTGTTTCTGCTCTAAGCTGTTGAGGTGAGATGATTTTTATTTTGAGAGAGCGGAAACTTTGTCTGAGCAGCCAGAAATTCTGAAGCCATCTAATCCCCCTAACTGCTATGACTGATAACTTAAAAGTGCATGACCCAGAGGTTTTATTCTTCATCAAAATACAGCAGAATGTATCAGAATAAAAACTTTGAGCTGAAGACTAACTACACAACATTTATAACAAGCTATTACAAGACTATGCTACTGAGTGCCTGATTAATAGCAAAATAAGATGTTATTTACTTTACTCCTGACTGCTATGCAAAATGTGTAATACTAGGTTTTGGTACTGAGTTACAATCACAAGGTCAGTTGTGTGCTGCTATAGTATAACTTGGAATGCTTTGTAGGACACATTTTCATTAAGCCACAAAGTGTGCTCTTTTCTTTACTGATCTTTTGATATTTTTCATCTATTGTACAGATTTATTTATAGATTTATTTTCACAGACATAACAATGGCATGATATGGCAACTAGGCCATGGTCTTTGTAGACTGTCAGTTAAATGAAAATACGCTAACAAGTATAAGCAATATGTTTTTGTTGTCTTTTCAGATTTTGGGGTCAAAAAACCCCCAGTACTTTTTCCTTCCATCTATCCTGACGTTCTATCTAGCGATGATGTATATTTCCACTCTGTTACTCTAAAGCCATGATGCGGAACTGATCTTTTACACATCTACAACCTAAATGTAAGAATGGGTTTGTGGAAATGCATTAAAGAACATTTAACCACATGTATTGTAATCAGTTGTGTTTCCTCCACTGTTGGCAGATGTGCAGTCTATGAACTAAGGCCATAAAGCAAAGACAAAGTGCCTCAGATAGCAAGTTTGAAACTGACACTCCTGTCAGTATGTGCTGTCTGATATATCATTTCCTTTCAAACGCAAAACGAGACAAAAGACAAAATCAAATGGTTTATATCTGAGAAAAAGAATAGAGGAAAAAGGTTTGTCATTGTATTTGCCATTTAGTCTGTTAGAGAAAATGTAGAGTAGGCCATACACAGAAAGCATTAATATGATCTGTTATTATAATTATTCAATGTTGAGGGGTGATATGATTGCTGTCACTGTAGAAGTCTCCACCCACCTGTCCCCTATCGTCAGTAATTATTTACTGAATGATCTGAAGGTGTGTGCTTTCACCACAATCACTGCATCCAATGCACAACTGTATTTTTGGTAAAGAATTAGGATAAGGAAATCTAGAATACACTGTAATACATCTCATCCCACTAAGAGACAGTATCATTTTATAGCTTAAGGTTCCAACGCACGATGATGCTTTTGCACTTTGTATTTTAAACAGTGCACATTGGGTCACATCAAGTAGAAAAATACGGACCATTGTTAACTGATCTCTGTGGTAGAAATGACAAAGAGGGTCAGAAGTCAAATGGCTGCTGTGAAATCAGTGATCAAAGAACATTTACTTTTATTTCCAGTGTTGCAGTTCAATGAATTGTTATTGTTTGTGATACAATAGCATTTAACCTTCAAATCTCTAAATTAAATACTGGGATCAGCTAGGACCACAAACCTTAAAATCAAACAATAGAACAATTTCTTAAGGTCAAAAATGTTCAAAAATATAACCTGCAATATTGTGTTCACTTCTGTGTTAATAGTGTTAATTGCTATATTAATAATATAGAATTGCATTGCAAGCACTGGTCTGTTTGCCAGCCCAAAAATTATATATATATATACATACATTGTGATAAGAAAATATAGATAGGTCTATTCATAAGGTGACAATAATGTGCCATTTACATGTACATTGCATCGCAGCAGCAAGTGTCACAAAATAATAAATGATATGCAGCATGACTCTGATTTTGTTAAATAATTCTAAACTCTTCCATAACTAAACGTATCACTATAAAATATTATTTCACTCACAGAGTTAATTGCAAGGCTTTTTTAGAGACTAATTTAGAATTTTTAGCCCTACATTTAAGAGTTAAATTCATTCTAATGTAAGTAGGTAAATAAGGAATTCGGCAAATAAAATATATATCTTATTCCAATGCTTACTTATTTCACGTCGTCTTATTTAATCGGAGCTAATTATTTCTTGACATTCAGGTTTTCCCACAGCGGACAACATGAGCCAGATTACTGCGTCGTTGAGTTTTACGAGGGTCTCCAAACGCGCCATGACGCGCCGCTGACGTCGAGTCGGGCGGAAGTGATGCAGATTGCGTTCCTCGATCATCTAATCCGTGTCGATGATGCAAAATGTCTCTAAACTGAGCGGAACCGACGCGGTGATGCTCAGGTGAAACTCATCGTGTGTTGCTGTTGACCTTCGATCCGCGGCACGGAGACAAACATGGATCCGTCCAGGAGGAGCGAGAGCGACTGGCAGGGACTGATCAGCGAGGTGAGACTGAAGGAGACCGAGGAAAGACACTCACAGTCCCCACTAATGTGCACTGATGGTGGGAGAACTGTCCACTTAAGTATGTTTGTAAATGTTGTTGTCATTTGCTCTCTCTGATTTCTGTGGCTGCCTCCTGTTTGGACAGTTATATCCAAACATTATCCAGATTGAACGCGGGAATAAATCTCAGCTGCTGTCTGAAGCTGCAGGGAATCTACATGTATGAGGAAGAAGGTTCTCATTGTTTCCTTTTCCTTGTAACTGCAGAGCTTCTTTTAAAGTCACTGACATGTAAAACAACATCCGCCAGACTGCAGATTACTGGCTTTTCTGGTTGTTCGAGATAATCCCTCAAAATCAACACATTGGATTACAGTAACTAAGTATAATTACTCAAGAACTGTACTTGCTATTGAAGCTTTACTTGGGTATATCCATGTTCTGATGCTTATTTGTACTTCAGCTCCACTACATTTCAGAAAGAAATACTGTATGTTTTATTCCACTACATTTATCTGACAGCTGGAGTTATATTGTCAGTTAAAATTGTAGAGAGGTGACACATGATCACATTATAAAATATGAAGCACTGTTATAGAAGAACAGCAGCACATCCAAGCCCATATTTTACACAGTATGAAGAATACTATATGTAAAGCATAGTAGCTACACTGAACAAAAATATTAATGCAGCATGCAAATGGTCTTCTTTTCTGACTTTGAGAAAACAGTTAAATGTCACATTTATGTTATAATTTAAAAATGGTCGCATTTAGACAATAGTGCAACTGTTCGAGTGGTGACAAATTGTCAAGAATTGAGTTAATCTTCATGTTGGTCAGCTGTGGCTGTAAGGAATTGTTCTCTTAAGTTGAAAAGAATAGATAGACTGTAATAAAATATACATTCTGTGTTTATATTTTTGGTCTGTATATTGTATCAGTAGGCTTTGTCTGAAGTAATGTGAAGCTTGACACTAAGTTTCATACTCTAAATGAGTTAATATATACATATTTTTGTACCAGAATAAATCTGAAATACAACTTTTAAAAAATGGGATTGGATTTCCAAAAAATTAAATGACGGCAGCCCTGATAATTTATTACTAGTTTAATTTATTGGGCAAAAAATGTTGAACATTAACTTGTCTCAGCTTCTCAAATGAGAGGATTATCTGTGAGTTTTGGGAGAATTTTTGCTTGGCCGTTTTTTTTTGTTTTTTTTTTTTGCCATTTTACTATTTAATAGGCTAAATGATTAATTCTAAACATAAATGCTAGATGAATCAGTTGTGAAAATAATCAGCAGTTGCAGCCCTAACAGATGCTGTGATGAATAGCAACATCAGATGGAGGTCTCTTGTGGCTAATGAGATATTCATTGTTCATATTGACTGCATTGCTTCATTAGAATCTCTAATCAACAGTTGTGAGCTGCTTAACTACCAAGTATTCATGTATTATTAACTGGTGATTCATTACTGCTGCCTTCTGAAGCACTTTGCAACTTGGATTTAAAAAACAAAACAAAACAAAAACCCTCTATAGATAAAGATAATTGTTATTCTTATGTTATTACTTGATGTAGCCTATACATTAAGTTCTTTGTTCTTTTGTGCAGTTCCTAGTTTGTAAGCAGAAGTTGGAGAGCAAGAAAGAGGCTCTTCTGATTCTGTCAAAAGAGCTGGACACCTGCCAGCAGGAGAGAGATCAGTACAAGCTGATGGCCAACCAGCTGCGCGAACGGCACCAAGGACTCAAAAAGAAGTACAGAGAACTCATTGTAAGCTGAACCAATGCGGTCTTAAAGACACACCATAAGTGTTATATTAGTAAACAAAACAGAGAATACAATTTGTCAGTTTTGAAGAGAATGATAATGTCCTTTGTTTTTCTTATTAACAGGATGGAGATCCCTCTCTGCCTCCTGAGAAAAGGAATCAGGTGAGTCTGATATTGTTTGTGCAGGACTGTCGAACAAAAATGCATGCTGTGATACGCTGTACTTAAAGTTCAGCCAAGTCAGCAATGTGCACACACAGGGCATGCCTGTTTTTACTGACGTGGCTGGTCATTAAGTTTATACTGAAACATACCAAGGGGACGGGACAGAACTGCTGACAGCACTGAACCCTGATGACTCAGACTGTCTGTGGGTGGAGCGCCTGAGCTGTGTACATATGGTAATGATGTAAAATAACAGGACTGGGAGGCTCTTCATCATAGCTGCCTAGTTTTGGGGTTTTAGGTTTTAAAATAAATCTTTAAGTGCCCTGTTCAGAACATGGTACTCAAAAGATAAATTAATTTAACAACTAACTGAACCTGTGTGAGTGACAGTCGTCCTCAAATGTATTCATACCCTTCCATTAAAGAAAAGGCAAAATTCACAATAGTCACTCAAACAACTAGAAAATGAAAAAAGTAATAATAAAGAAAAATTTTCTGAATTATAATTTAGTGAAATGAGACGTTGCTTTTGAATTGTGGTTGAAAAGAATAATTTAAAAAAAAAACAACTCTCCCGGACAAATGAGAGCACTTTGCTGATGAGCAGTGGACCAAAATCAAAACACCTGTCAACAGGTGCAGAAGTCTGATTGAGAGTTACAGAAAACACTTGATTGCAGTGATTGTCTCAAAGGGTTATTCAGCAAAATATTAGTTCACGGGTCCCATTATACTGTTTTTTTTTAACTTTCTGTTGAACCACAATTCAAAAGCAATGTCATGATTGTCATAAATTTTTTATTTATTATTACTTTTGTCAATTTCAATGTATTTCAGTGTCAGCTGGTTTTTTTTTTCCTTCTTTAATGGGAGGGTATGAATAAATTTGAGGGCGACTGTAGCTCACTGCGTTCATCCGTCATTCAGGTGAATTTAGCCCAGCTACTGAGAGACTCCAGAGACAAGAACAGCCAACTGTCTGAGGAGATGAAGGAGCTGAAGCAACGACTGGTAGAAGCTCAGGGGGATAATAAGGTACTATGACAAACTATTCACCACGATAAAAGTTGGCATATTATCAAATACATTCATAATGCATGCTCATTTCATTCATTCTGTCTTTATTTATGATCTCAAACATTCCAAATATTTAAGCATCAATCTAAGCAGCTATTAAGTAACACTGAGGTTATCTGAGAAAGAATAAAGCAGAATCACACTGTGTGTACACTGAATGGAGAAAATGGTGGAAAAACCTTATAGATTTTTCTTACTTTTTGTTTGCGTAGCTCCTACGAATGACCATCACCAAACAGAGGCTGGGAGATGAGGAGGTTGGCGCTCGACACTTTCCTGCGCATGAGAGAGAAGATCTGGTCAAACAGTTAGAAAGAGCAGGAGAACAGGTGAGCGTTATTCAGGTGATTTTCAGTTAAGGGTTTAATGAGTTGTCACGTGATCATTTCATGTGAAATGATAGCAAATGTAACTACAATACATTACGAACGAATTTACTTTAAAATATTTTTTGTGACATGGGAGTTGTGTTTAACTCGTGCTTTCTCAGATGAAAGATCGAAAAATGATAGTTTAAATGTAGTTAAAAAAGACTGTTTTTACGTTTCAACTTTCGTAGCATTGATGCAGATTTTAAAAAACAGCTTGGTTTTCACTCTCTGCCTTCAACGCGCCTGTATTTCTTCAGAGTGATACATAATTTAGAGTGTATAGGAGGCACAAGGGCACAACGTATGGTATGTAGGACAGAGATTAATCACAACAATATATGATAATAATGGAAAACTATGTAAAATATGAGCTTTCTGTAGGAAAGAATAAAACAGGATTTTGTGAACTCCTCTATACCCTTCTTTGAATAGTTAAATATATAGACAAATACAGTATAAGCAGGTGAAATGATAACCCAGTAACTAATATAAACAGTGTTATCAGTCAAGGCCCTTCACTGACGCAGTGTGTGTTGTTGTGCTGCAGAACGAGGTGCTGGAACACAGCGTGAAGTCGCTCACAGATGAGCTTCAGGACGTTCGAGCTGAGCGTGACGTGTTTCAGCAGAAGGCGCATCGGCTCAACGTGGAAATGAACCACATTGTAGGAAACGATGACATTCGCATTTTAGACATAGATGCACTCTGCATGGAGAACAGGTTGGTTACTCTTATCGAAAATATTGTAACTGGTACTTTTGTGACTGATTTCTACAGTTTAAAGAACAAGTTTAGTGTGAATCTAGCATCCTGTTGAAACACTGTCATCCTGCTACCGCTTAACTAGTTCAATAAGAGGGTGTATATTTACATCATATATTCATGCTGCTATTTACATACAGTATATGAGCGATATGCCAAACGACTTGAAGGCTTCTTAGTTATTTTAAAAAACAGAACTGAACAGCTTTAATGATTTCTGTAATGAGGCTTTTGATTAAAATAATTTTTTCAGGTATTTGCATGAGCGGCTCAGTCAACTACAAGAAGAGGTCAACTTGCTTAAAACAAATCTGATGAAGTACAAGGTAGCTGCAATTTATTTGCTTTTCGTTATTCCATCTATTTTTTTTAATGGCAAGTCTATTAAAAAAAAAAAAAAAAAAAAAGCATTTCTTGTATTGAAACTTTTAACATTTTATGAATTATTTATTAAAAACAAAAACTTATACGGCTGTGTTTCCAACTGATTTCAGAGTGCCCTGGAGTGTAGAAAGAACTCTAAAATCTCTGGGAAACCCAACAGTAGCGCTCTGACCGGGGTGCTCTCTGCTAAGCAAGGTCAGAAGAATCCTGTTTTTAAAAAAGAAAAATTCACACTTTTAGTCAGCTTGCGTAGCCTTTTAAGCACATGCTCCTGTAAACCACTACATTTAAATGTGCTCACTCACATTTACTGCTCCTGCTGTTTACTTTAACTGTGAGTAATGATTTGCATGCAGTGAAGGAGCTGTTACTGTCTGAAGAAAACGGTTGCAGTTTGCCGGTGACTTCTCAGTCCATCTCCGACCTCAAGTCTCTCGCCACAGCTCTGCTGGAAACTATCCACGAGAAGAACATGGTGGTCCAGCACCAACGCCAAATCAACAAGTACTGAAGTTTATCCTTCGTACACTGACTATACTCTATTAATTTGTTTAGATATTTTAAGTCCACGCCTATGAATTTAATTCATTTTCTGTTCTTGGCTTTTTTTTTTCACTAGGATTCTTGGAAACAGAGTAGCAGAGCTGGAGAAGAAACTAAAAACACTGGAGATGTCTGGATTATGGAGCCTTCCAGGTGGATATAAGTGTCTTTAATATATTGTGACAAGTGTTCACCATTCTACCGTGTGTTCTGCAGTCTATTTATAATAACTTCTTTTCCTTCTTCTGCCTTTTTTCTTCTTGCTACCTGGAGGCCTCACTTATAATGTGTCTTTGGGAATTTATGGAAGTATGTTCCTCTAATAACAAAGTCATCGACTGTTTCAGTTCTGAACTTCATCTTCTTCTATAACTGTTGTTAACATTACATTTACTCATGTCTATCTGGTGCAACAGTTTCACGTAGTAGCATACAGATAACCATTTTTACCACTTTTTTTGATAACAGAAGGAAAAGATGCCATCATCCTGAACACTCAGCAGGTTGAATCACCAGAATCTCCTGGACAGGAAGGTGAATATTTAGTGAAACTATGCCTCCATCAGCCATTTTCCATCCATATCTAAACTATATTTATTAAATGTTATCCATCTGTTTTTACAGGTGACACGGGGTGTGAAAACATACTTGCTGAGCAGCAGAGCTCCTCAGAAGTTCCAAGCCAAGACAGCGAAACACCAGCTGTGTCGGATCTTCAGGAAGATGCAACATCATTGTCCAGCGTGGAGACATGCCACTACAACTCCTCCACCCAGTCAGCTGAAGAGGAGCCAGCCAGCCCTCAAACAGAAAAGCCAAATAGCGATGAGTGTCATGAAAGTGGCCAATCACAGATCACAATGGATTGTACTGCATTAGCAAAAGAAGAAGAGTGTCTGAGTGACTCTCCTCCCAAAGAGACATATTTAAACAAACCTCATCCATCAGAGCTCTGCCACTCACCACAAACTTCAGAGAATTCAAACCCAACAGGAGGAAGAGAGGATGAGTCAGACGAATGCGCCGAAGAGGTGGAAACTGCTGAAACAGAGGGTATTATGACAGAGGAAAGTATAGATACGGTTTCATCTACTGTTGTCTCTACTGCTGCTTTTGAAGAGCAGCAGGAGGAGGTCCAGTCAAACCAGGAGACAGATGTTGGTGATAGTGAGGAGACATGAAGCCCTCCAGGAGCCGTCACATGTCGCATAGCACTGAAAAGAATAATGACAAAAGATGCATTCAAACTATATAATGGTATTATTTATTTTTATGAATAATTCAAACTTCCAGAAACATCTCACTTGAGAATTAATAATAATGGCACAACATGACAGATTTTCTCATTAATGTATCTCTGTGAAAGAAATAAGGATTCATTCCAAACCATAAAGAAGTCTAGAACAGATACTCTAACTTTCCTGCTTTCATGTGGTTCCTTTTTTGAGTTCTCTGCTCTTTTTTTGTGTAGATCTACCTTTAAAGCTGCTGAATTACACTATGTGAACAGAAACAACTGGACACTCAAACAATACACTCATTGTGACTTTTAAACATCTCATTTGAAATCACTGGCATTAAAATGCTGCTATGACATTATTCTCTCCTATAAAAGGGTTTCTATAAGATTCTTCAACCTGACTACTGGACTTTTCTCTCAATGATTCCTGTACATATGCAGACTAGTGACAAATTCAAGGAAAACCCTCAGTCCTTAACTCCCAATAATGAGGTGATCAGGTGGCTCTAGTGATATGAGGGGGGCACTTTGCTGGCTTGGTTTGAGTCCACTTAACTCTTTCAGAGGGAAAGTTCACTGTAAATCAATACAAAATTGTGAGTGACTGCCTTTATTCTCTGATAAACATTTCTATCCTGATGAGAGTGGCCTCTTTCAGGATGAGAATGCCCCCATCTACAGGGTACAATGAGTATGAAAACAATGTGGATCACATGCATGGTTCACCAGAGCTCAACCTTGTTTGTCACTGATGGAAGATTTCAGACACACATGTTAGACAGCACTCTCCCCTAGCATCATCAAAACACCAAGTGAGGGAATATTTTTTTATAAGAATGATATTCTATCCCACCAGTAGAGTTTTAGAGACTTGGAGAATCGATGCCAAGGTGCATTGCAGCTCCTCTGGCAGCATGTAGTGGCCCAACATCTTGCTAACATGTAATGATGATTATTATAATAATTATTCCTTTGTCACCTTCTGTATATCAAAGGTGGACAAACAGTGGTTCATAGTGATTAAAACAAGCAGGAACAAGCCGTGGAATGTGTTACGCTGCCATGCTACACTGGTGTTGAGATTTAGAGGTTTTGAAATGAAAACTTCAGTCTTCATTTATTGAAGTTATGGAAATCATTGTTCTGATACTGACTTTGAACTTAACTGTGAAAGAAAGCCTAATTTGCATAAACGTTTCTGCTGCTAACTTTAGACTAAGGCAACAAATCTGATTTCTTTTCTCATTGACATTTTAAATGGAAAGGGACAAAGTGCAATTGCTGCTGTCAGTACCCCATCAACAGCAAGCGTTTGTGTGACTTCAAAATTAAATGTTTGTGAGCAAACATTCTCCTTCATCTTTCTACCTCTGTACACACCATCCCTGTGAAAACTTATATCTTCATAATCTGCTGGGAATGCTGTTTAAACTTAGAAGCAGATTTAGTTTTGTTTCTCCAAGCAGTAAACAAACATGTCCTGTTTAGTTTCTTATTACTCGATTTACACTGCAAGGCTTTGATTTGTCCTGTTTTTGTGTTAGCATTCTGTCTCGAAGCTACAGTTTAAAAGCAGACGTCCTCATACAAGTTATTTTTAGCCATGGAAACACAATATTATCAAAGTAATAAAACATGCTGCATGACATGCTATGAACTGATTAAAGACATTTGCATTTTCTTCTGTGCTGTGACCCAATTTGTTGACAGAAATGCTCAAAAGAAATGTTTGATTATTTACAGTAAATTGCCTGTCAGCATTAAACAAACAGATCCTAGTTTGGAACATTTTTACAGACATATACACATGCACCATGAAGTCACATCTGTACTACCACTATTCTGATCCTGTTTTTGAGGAAAAATACAGTCATCAAATAGAAATTACATAGAGTCATCTGTGAATGTGTTGCTTGTGTGTAAATTACCTTTCAAGGGTGTTTGTCGTAGGTTTTTTAAAAAATACAAATATGATATACTGTGTCATGTGTGTCAAGACTTAACTGGATATACTGCAAAAGCCATTTTTGTTTTTCTGCTTTCTTTATTTTTTTGTAAAGCACGACTAAGCTGTAAAAGCCTGTATAAGGTTGCCATGTTTGCAGTAACAAGCACTAAACAGAAAACAGCTGACAGTGAGGAGAATTACATTTTATTCAAGAATTTTGACACAAAAGCAAGTATTGGACAGATTGAAAGTTGAACCTGATGATGACGCTGGATACATAAAGTAATTTGAGTTCATCCAGACGATTCTAAAAAGGCACCAAAATGTCAATCCATCCAACAGTTATCAATACAAAAACTACAAATGTCAACCTTATCACGACGTTAGAGGAAAAGTCAGAGGATCATCAAAATCATTGGTGAGCATCCTCCGCTGACCAGAAATGTCTGTACCAAATTCCCTCGCAATTCATCTACAAGTAATTCAAATATATCCGTTTGGTGAAATGACCAACTGCACTGCTAATATGGAGCACCACGATTCCAATATTTTATTCTCTGACCAGATCTTAAGGTGCATTTACTTTTGATAAACTACAGGGATTTTTTGGAATGTATGGACACAACATATGAATGAACACAGACAGATTCTGTAAGCTGACCTACAGTAAATTCAACCACCTTTAGGATGAGTTTCTCCTCAGCCATTGAGCATACTGTTTTTGCTGCATATTCCAGAGATTGGGGGAAGAAATCCCAATAATGCAGCAGCCGAGCCTTCGGCCTGCGTTTCCGTGCAGTAGGCTCCCAGCGTCTCCACCACGCCCCAAGTCGTCTATCTTTTCATGGATCACCACTGCTCTTCCAATCACAGAAAGGCTTCCGAACAGTGTGGCATTAGATTCTATCATGGCACTGATTTTTCCTTGCTGGGCCTCAAAGTTACCAAAGTCTCCTGGGTGGTTAGGGTGATGCACGTCATATGGATTGTAGTGGCCACCGGTGGAGTCACATCCCTGGCTCAGGTCTCCGTACTGATGGATGTGCACCGCCCTCGGCTCTGGACTGCCGTCTCTGGGGAAGCCAGTGAACCAGAGAAGCACTTTGAGTTTTCCCTGATGATAATCCTGCTTAAACAGCGCCTGACCGTATACTTTGGGCAGACCCTCGGGCAGTGAGGTGCTGGGTCTCATTTTGCAGGCTGCATAGAGGGTGTCATTGTGTTGCCAGACCTCGGGTGGAGCCAAAGTCTCACTGCAGGCTGAGACGCATTGTTGACAGGCAGCCAGCAGAACCAGGAGAGCAGTTTCCAAAATACTCACTGACCTGAAAGACAGATCACTGCAATTGTGAAGATAATGTCACATTTCAAATGTTTTGCATAATTGCCGGGCTACTCTGAGAAGAAAGTCACTTCAGATCTACCAAATTAAATTGTAGAATAGCAGCATAAAAGTGCCCATCATGTAAATGTATGGCAATTTGTAGCTCCTTCAATTAAGTAAAATGTGGAAATACACTGTTAAAATACTTTCCTATAGGTACAGTGTTACATTATATAATACAGAGGTACTCAGAAAAATGATTACTCAGGATGCTATATGACTGCACACATTATTAAATAATCATTTAAACTACTTTATACATAGTTGGGTGGTTTAATCCATAAAGATTCTTACATAATATACGTTAATGGACTACAGTATAAAATCTTAATCTGCCAGTAGCTGAAAAGTGTAATAAAATGTACTTTAAGTCTGTCACAAATAAACAAAATCTCCCCGCAAGTATAAATAAGCACAAAGCATGTGCGTGTCTGTGGTATGCTACATAATCTCAAATTGTCTAAACACTGACATCTCCAAAATAAAAGAACACGCACTAATCCTGACTGTGTAGCATATATATATATATACCTGTATAAAACAAGAACCTCCACAACAGCGTACAGACTGTTCTCATCACAATACAAACGGAATGTCGCAGTAAATAAAGTTAATTACATGATACACTTTCGCCGATAACGCCACGAAACAAAGTTCACTTACCCGTATTGACGCATGGTCGCAATAAAGACTGCAGCAAAACTGAAACTTTTCCCTCTTGATCAGCCGTCCAGGGTTAATCGACGAGCTAGGATGCTAAGTGTCTCGTAATCCAAAGTTTTATAAGCGTGTCCAGTGGGCGTCGCTTCCAGAGGGCGGAGCAGAAGCCTGAACAGGTTTGTTTGTGATTTCATTGTTTCCATTGGTGCATCTGAAGTACACTACTCAATCACACAAGTCAATCACACTTCTGCGAAATCAACCTGTCCATTTAGGAAGCAACACTGATTGTGAGTAAGTTTCACCTGCTGTTGTGCAAATGGAGCAGATAACAGGTGGAGATGAGAGGCAATTAGCAGGACAGCCTCTATAAAGTAGTGGTTCTGCAGGTGGTGACCACAGATCATGTCTCTGTTCTCATCCTTTCTGGCTGATGTTTTGGTCACTTTTGCATTTTGTCAGTGGTCTCACCCCTAGAGGTAGCATGAGGTGGTGTCTACAGCCCACAGAAGTAGCTCAGGTAGTGCAGCTCATCCAGGATGGCACATCAATGCGAGCTGTGGCAAGAAGGTTTGTTGTGTCTCTCAGCACAGTGTCCAGAGCATGAAGGAGATACCAGGAGATGTGGAGGGGGCTGTAGGAGGGCAACAACCCAGCAGCATGACTGCTATCTCTTCCTTTGTGCAAGCTGGAACAGGAGGAGCTCTGCCAGAGCCCTGCAGAATGACCTCCAGACAGCCACTAATATGCATGTTTCTGCTCAAACTGTCAGAAACAGAATCCATGAGGGTGGTATGAGGACCCGACGTCCACCAGTGGGGCTTGTGCTTACAGCCCAACCCTGTGGAGGACGATTGGCATTTGCCAGAGAACACCAAGACTGGCAGATTTGCCATTGCCACCCTGTGCTCTTCACGGATGAGAGCAGGTTCACACTGAGCACATGTGATGGACGTGACCGAGTCTGGAGACGCCGTGGAGAACGTTCTGCTGCCTGAAACATCCTCCAGCATGACCGGTTTGGTGGGTCAGTAATGGTGTGGGGAGGCATTTCTTTGAAGGGCAGCACAGCCCTCCATGCACTAGCCAGAGGTACCCTGACTGCCATTAGATACTAGGATGAGATCCTCAGACCCATTGTGAGACCATATGCTGGTGCAGTGGGCCCTGGGTTCCTTCTGATGCATGACAGTGGTCGGCCTCATGTGGCTGAAGTGTATCAGCAGTTCCTGCATGGTGAAGGCATTGATGCTATGGACTGGCCTGCCGGTTCCCCAGACCTGAAACCATCTGAGCACATCTGGGACATCACCAATGCCACGTTGCACCACAGACTGTCCAGGAGTTGACTGATGCTTTGATCCAGGTCTGGGAGGAGATCCCTTAGGAGAACATCCTGCCTCATCAGGAGCATGCCCAGGCGTTGTAGGGAGGTCATACAGGCACGTGGAGGCCACACACACACACTACTGAGCCTCATTTTGATTTGTCTTGAGGAATTTCCACTGAAGTTGGATCAGCCTGTAATGTGATTTTTTTCCAGTTTTATTTTGAGCATGATTCTGAATCCAGACCTCCATGGGATAATAATTTTGATTTACATTGATCATTTTTATGTTATTTTGTTCTCAACGCATTCTACAATGTAATGAACAAAGTTTTTCAGCTGGAATATTTAATTCAGTGAGATCTAGGATGTGTTTTTTTTAGTGTTCCCTTTATTTTTTGAGCAGTGTAGTTTTCTTCAGCTCCATGTTGCACATTTGTTTATTTTTTATTATAATTAAATATACTTTTGATAACTCTGCAGTTAAAGTTGGGAAAGAAACTCCTCAAACACCAACCACCAATCCAGAACACTGCTGGAAATACCTGTTGTTTAGCTTTATGCAATTCATGAAAGCAGCTTGTTGGCTTTTAAGTACAAATACCAAATTGTAAACATATTCACTGAAGTGACCCTACTGCCAGTAAATGTACAGTATTGTAAATATTCAGCCCCCTTGAAGAATGTGTATATATATGAAGAATTTATACATGAAAAGTAATGCCAGTTCATTAAAAACATAAAGCTTAAAATAAGTGATTGCATAAATATTCATCCCCTTTAAAATGTCTCACATAATTCAACACAGATGCAGTCAGCTGGTGCTAGAAGTCAAACAATTATTGAAATGGAGATCATCTGAGTGCAGCCAGTGTGTCTTAAGTAACTGCAGTATAAAGACCCTGGAACCAATACTATTTATAGGCATAAGCAGACCGCCACCAAATTTATTAGACCATCACCTACAGCTGCCCTTAATTAACAGCATTGGTAACTACCAAGATCATTTTTAAAATGTTTCTGTAATGGTTAATACACCAGTATGTAGAAACACTTTCACCAAAATGATATTTTTAATGCGAAAATATAATTATTAATGTTTTCCATGAATTTTCAAAT